CACTGTCATCAAATTTCAAATATTGTATAACAAGACAAAACTGCAAACAAGACCGGAAATTGTTTTCTCGCTCTTAACTAACTGAAGCCTTTCATTGAACAACCAAATAACAAACTTTTACCCTCTTTCTGGCCAGACACATGGCAGCATTTCTGCTATAATTTTGTTCATATTTAACAAAATAAAAATGCAGACACAAGTGTACACTTTAGGTTTAACTGCTTTTGAAAATTGTTTTCTTTACAAATAACTCTCTCACTGAACTAACACAGCCAATCCCTCAACATGTTTGCACTCTCTGCTTATATTGCCTTCATATTAAATCATTTTTTGCCCTTTAAATACCTTATTTTAACATTACGCTTAACAACATACAAATCCTCCCTAATGATAAAAGTAACTTCAAAGGCCAAATTGCATTGTATTTCTTCACGTCAATATACGGGCCACAAGTAGGGGTGACGCAGGCCGCAAGTGGCCCCCGGGCCAAAAGATTGAGACCCCTGCTCTAGAGTGATAAAATCCTGTATTCTTGTCTTTTATCAGAAAGTCCTGGTGGTCACCCAAACTGAAGTCCAGAACATCATTCAAGAGAGGATGAAGGAGCTCCAGGAACTTAAGCATAATATTGATGTTCTAAAAGTAAGATCATAGCCTGGTCCAACATAAATTACTTTTCTTCATAGTAAATTTGACATGGTCTCATTTTTTTTTTTACAGAACTGTTACATGTTAATACCACTATATAAAGGAATCCAGTGGTAATATCAAGGATGACTATTGTAACTAAAAGCTCCTGGAAAAAACTGTCTTTACCTTTCAGAGTGCAGCCCAGCGAGCACAGGCAGAAAGTGACAAGACCTTCCATGAAATGCTGCAGGCAGTTGAACGCTGGAAGTCTGAAATCAATCAGATGATAATGGCCAACATGCAATCAGCAATGTCACAGGCTGAAGGCTATGTGGATCGTCTGGAGCAGGAGATAATGGAGCTACAACGTCAAGATGCAGAATTACGGCAGATCCTCGAGACGGAGGACAACATTTACTTCCTGCAGGTACTGGAAAATCAGCCAGAGCTACAATAATTCATCTCTGTCTTTCTTGCTTTGTAATGTAGCACAGAAAAAACAGTTAATTTACTTATCACTTCCAGCGCCTGTTGCTATAGCATGCTCAGCATTTCTTGCTACCCCGTTACACTGACTAACACAAAACAAGACCACGACTTCTTTATGTATATATTTATGTTTTTAGTAAAAAATCATTACACTTCTTTTTCTCGATAAAAAACAGAGTTTCCCAACCCTGTGTGTTGCTCCTGAGGCCATGGTCCCCAAAGTGCTAATTAACCCTCAGTTCTCCTTTGGAGAGATGAGCAGAACGGCCAGTGACATGAAAGAAAATCTGGATGACATCTGTAAAGGAAATGGGTAAACTCTCCAAGACAGGTTTGTTCCAGTAGTCATTGTTAACACTTCAATTACCTTTTACTGGCTCACTAGTTTTTGCTGCAATCCATATATACTTGAATTTATATTTTTACAGTGAGCGAAACTCCCGTGTACATATTGTTGCCAAGAAATGGAAGCAAACGACTCAAAGGTAAGTGAGCTGAATAATTTCATTCGTGCTATTTTGTACATGGCTGGCAATTTTTTTTAAACATAATATTGTTGCACATTTTATAACATATGTTATGTTTTTATATTTAAACAGTTCCTTTGAATGTAGATTTTCAGGAGCCAAAAAACAGAACAGACTTCTTGAGATGTAAGTAAATTTTATGGTTCAGAATTAGTACTCAAGAGCAACATTTTAATGTTATCTAAACAGAAGACATTTATAAATGTATGTTGTGGCTGTGTTTTCAGATGCCTGCAAGCTGTCCTTTGATCTTAACACAGTTTATAAAGAGCTGGTTTTGACAGATGGGAATCAGAAGGTCACCCGGAAGAAAACAACCCAGTTTTACCCAGATCATCCAGATCGCTTTGATGGCTACTCCCAAGTTCTGTGCAAGGAGCCTCTCACTGGTTTCAGGTTTTACTGGGAAGCTGAATGGAGTGGAGAATTTTCCATAGGGGTGGCTTACAGGAGCATCAGCCGTAAAGGGAAGAATTCACACAGCCTGCTTGGCTACAATGACAAGTCTTGGAGTCTCCTTTGCTCAGACTCTGGTTACTCTGCCTGGCACAACAAAGTAGACAGAGACCTTCCTGGTGCTGGTAGGGCTACACGCATTGGTGTGTACCTAGATTATCCTGGAAACACAGTGGCTTTTTACTCAGTGTCAGGCACTATGACACCTATCCACAGATTCAAAGCTCAGTTTACCGAGCCTTTGTATGCTGGCTTTGGTGTAGGTTCCTCAGTTACCCTCTGCCAGCTAAAACAGCCTTATTAACTAAAAAGTGCAAAAATTACCCATTACCAGTAAAGAATTTACACCGATACAATATGTAAATAATAATGACATACATTGCAAAATACAATATACTACCAGTTATACTCGCAAAATACACAGGATACAACAACAAAATTTACACCAGGAAAACTTTGTAGTAAACAGTTGCCTGTTTACAACAAATGTGGACCAAGTTTGGGGCAACGGGGTCAAATTATCTCTGACCACACCCAGCCACAATCTTTCCTCTGGCTTAGTCTGGTCAGAAGGTGATATTTTGCACATGTAAACTGCTATCACTGGAGTCGTGGATACATCTCAAAATCACTCCTGCAAAGTAAGAAATTGAACCACTGGTCAGCACAGGACGTTAAATTACTTTGAATTATAAATGCGTTTTAAGGTAAAACTTTCTAGAATTAATGTATTAAATGTAGAAATGCTATAAATCTACAAATATTTGCTTAGAGAGGTTAGATAATAATAAAAATAATAAAAAAGACAGATACACTTGTCCTAAGCATAGCATGTACTACATTTTGTGTTATAACAGCCTTTATTATTATTTGGTATTCATTGCTGTACTTAAAAACAATCAATTTTACATTATAGTTTTGGAAAGTGCTGTGTCTTTGTTATTGTTTTGTTTCTGTGTGTTTGTTTGTTTGTTTGTTTGTTTGTTTGTTTTCTAATATCTTCTTATAATAATTTATCATCTGCTCATGGAATTTCAAATGGACACTTTTGTTTTCTCTATTTTCCAGTAAATCTAACCAGTCAAACCAGTTAATCTAGCATCAAAGGATGCTAACAACTGAAGTACCATTTTTGAAACGAATGAAGTATTTGTTTTCATTTCGAACAATATGCAAGTCATTTGTAATGTCCTCTTAGATAACATTAATTACATAAATAATAATGTTTTGAGAGGGAATTAATTAATATGTTGCATCATACAACATCTCTTACAGCAGTTTTTTCATGTGGTTTACAGGGACCTCATTCAGTAAACAAAAAGTCTATTTCTTTTTCCTCTTTTCTCTCTGATGCTCTCTTTGGCTTTTTCTGGTCAAGGATCTGAGTGGCAGGAGAACATTATCAACAGGGGAAAAAAGAAAGATAAACTTTCTCATTTAATAATAATGATTACCTTTATTGTTCACTGTATATTTTTTTAAGCTATTACCTTTAACTTCCAATTTGGGTCATAGGACACGCATTCAATTTGCTTAGATGATTTGCATGACAAATTACCCAAAGGTACAACAAAACAGACATGAAGCACAGTCATACCCCCATATGCAAATGTTCAAGCGTTAGAGGCAATCAGTCATCACACTACTCTAGAAGTGTTATCAAATGCTACACTGTACACATTTAGTCTAATAATATTTGTGGTCTTATTACAAACTTAACTGCTATAGTAACTGCAGACAGTATTGCAGTATTGTATGCATGACATGTTTATTGTGTGCTGCAATGTAAAACCTTACAAAAAAGTGCAATACAAATCCTGGGTCAGGATGACGTGGTCGTGGGTTTCTGCAGACATGCCAAATTAAATGAGATAGTCTGAATGCATACAATGCAGTCAACAATATCCTGGGTCTTCCTTTAAATGTTGAGTGTTATGTTAATGTTGTCCATCTTGTTATGTTGCTTGTACAGAGTGGTGCATAGTTCTTTGCTTGGCTGATTGCCTCTGTTTCTTGCATGTACTCTATGTACACATATTCAAACCCTTTGCATGTCTATGTGGGGTTTTTTCTTTCAAAATGTGTTTTTGTTCTTTGTAATGCTATTCTATAGCCTCACAGCTATCAGGGCTCATGAAACATTTTGGGCCAAATGAAAGCACTTCAGAGAGGAAGAACAATAATACACTAAAGAGATGAATGATGAAAATCATGCCGATTATTATAATTTTGTAATTGATTCTTTCCCATTGCATTGTTTCATTGCTGATGTTCCTAGTGCCTTTAACATTTGCATGAGCTTATTTTTAATAACTGGGTTTCTACAGCTCCTTCTCTACATTTGCGGGAATGGAAAATTCTTCTGTCTTAGGAGCTTTAATTATTTTTAACAGCATAAATTCATTTAGATCATACACATGACTGTGAATAATCTAAATATTTCAGTATGAGGTAAACTGTTTTGTTTTTGTTGCTGTTGTATTTCGGTGGCTTTTTAAAAATAAAATTGCTGTTTCTAATGTGATGGCATACAAAAATGAAAAACAAATGGGAGTATATTTGTGTTATGGCCACTTGATGGCACTGTTTCTAAACTGCCAATACACTGATATATGGCTCTTTTTTTGTAGGCTTCAACATCACCCTAACTAGAGGATCACAATCTGCACATATAAAGATAACCCTTATTTAGTCTGCTTCACATATAAAACAATGACATTCTGACAGGATAAGATGAAAGCTCTACCTATTTTATAGGAGAGTGTAGCTGTCTCTGCTTTGTTGGTGTTTCCATCTCCAATTAACAATGACTTAAGCTTGGCAAGCTGAGAAGCCAGAAGCTTTTTTTCTTGTTTATGCATGCACAATATGGATAAACCTCTGTTCTTTCATAGTAAACTGATGGAAGCCCAGCATGTAAGGCAAGCTGCCACTGGATCTACTTTTATTCTTGCTCTTGCTGAAGTAATGACCGCACAGTCCCTTGTTCGCCACTGGTGCCAGTTTCAGTCATTGTGCAAAGGTACTGTTTATAAGGGTGGGGAAACTTGCAGTCAGCTAAGACTGAAGAAGTCAATTGGATGACGCTGCGTCCCTTCTTGGGATTTCCTTGCCTGGATGACTGAGCATGCATCAGGACAGAAACTCGTTTTGAAGTAATATGAGGTTTGAATATCGATAAATATTATACAATAGTAAGTGCAAGCACGTGTAAAAAAGTATGAAAGGAATCTGATGCTGTGTGCAAATTCTTCTACACTCTCACAAAGGTTGGAGATTAGATTGCATGAGATAGCTACGCAGTATTTTGTGTTTGTTGATTAACTTCTTCGCATTCAGTGAATGGCTTTTTACAATTTTTTTTTATTTTTACTTTGAACTGTTTTCTCAGTTTGCAGCAGATTCACATTCACATGTACTTACTACGTGTGGGTGAAAACTTTCCTGCACACTTGTTCTGTCAGTATCACTGTTTACATTCAAAGAGGGACGTCCTACAGGTGGTAATACTAGCTAATCCTGTTTGGTGACTAGCTCAAGCAGAAAACCAAGGCAAGTCTTTCAACCGTAAAACACAAAAAGGGAACTAAAGCATTTTCACTCTGGAATTAAAAGACCACCTTAAACTGTAGAGCTGTTCATAATATTGTAAGTAATAAAGAAAAAGAAAATAGACAGAATTTTGAAATGCATATTTTAAATGTCTTTTCTAGCCATTCCACATAAATACAGAGACATTACAGTATGTTATTACCCTCTGTTTACTGTGATCTGTTCAGATAAATCTTACAGAGAAAACTTTATTTATTTAATTTTCTATTTACATTTTGGTTTGTCTATGACAGTTTATAAACATTGATGTTAGAGGAATTACGTACTTACAGACTGTGTCAGGAATTTAGGACCTATGTAGTTCTGTCATTGTGACAAGCTGCAACAATATCAATTTGAATATAACATTTAATGATATGATCCTCTGGCAGTGGTGTATTTTATTAAACATTTCAAGTTTTGTTTTGTCTAACACTGGCAATTTGTATTTTCTAAACAGTTTAGTTACAAAGACACACAACACAAGCTGAGTTCATGCAAGTGGCTCTTTTTTCTCTCACATAGTAGCACTTTGATTCACCACAGTGTTATCACACAACCCAGCATGCCTTAAACTAATATATATAGGGCAAATAGATGTCTAGACATATGTGTATATATAGACATATAGACTGAAAAAGGCTTTTATTACACTTCTATTGTGTAGAGCAAGCAAATAAACTGTACACAGTCATGTTGTGAAATATGTGGGGGGGTGGGGGGTTTGTGCCAAGATACATGACATACACTGACATTTTACAGGTTTGCCAATTAATTCCACAAAAGAAAAGAAAACACAAATAATTCACTTTAAACTAAATTCTCTTTTTTTTTTCAGATGAATTATGGCTTCTTCAGTGTCGCGAGTGTGTCAGAGAAAAACAATCATATGTCCCATTACTACTCTTATTTTTGTTGTCACACATCTACCATTCAGCCTGCAGGATACTGTTAAAAAGGTATACCACTTTAAATTATTTAATACTGCATAATTTACACTATTTTGTTTTTGATTCAAGCTAAAGTTAGATGTAAAATAAAGGGTTTTCTATGTTTTGGTTTCTTTTATGGCACTTTATCATAATATTCATAGCCAGTGTTTTGAAATCTTTACACTTTTAATGTGATTCTTGAAGCCATTATCTAAAAAAGACTAAAAGAAGATGAATGCTGGCTGTTGATTTAATGCATATCGCCATCTGCTGGATATTTCTAACAAGCTGTTCCTTCTAATTTCAGACATCTACTGAGAATTTGACTTTTTACCAGAGTGATGCCACGTTTTATGACTGCATATTTGAAGTTACAGTTTTAAATGATAATTCCATGATGCAAAAATGGGAATCCTGCTGTAAAAACTTCAGTGAAGCCTGGAGAAATGCAGAGCAACACACCAGAAAGCCTCAACACAAGCACCTGGAGAAAGATCATTCTGCTGCTTTATATATGTACACAAAATCTATGTTGCAACCTGTAAACCTCAACTTCAAGTCTGCAAATAGAACTGGAAAACCAAAGGAGACATTTGAGTCACGCTCACTTTATTCTTTTCTAACTGAAGGCATTCAGATTTTAAAACACAGCCAGGTGACATGTGTTAGTACACATTTTCAAGCAGAGACACTTTTACATCTGAACATCTCTAACAAACAGGTTCGGTTTAGCACCTTCATGTTAGGCTCTGATGAGTGGGACTTTGCACGGAACCTCTCATGTTTTGAGGTGCAAACGTGCTTTGGCGCTGACATAACATATTACTCTGCCCTGAAAAAAAATAATCAGGTGCTAATTCCCCCATATGAGATTTTCAAAGTCAATGACATCCAGAAAGAAACAAAGGAATGCAGAATCAGCTATAGACTCACAAGCAATATGAACTGTGTTTATAGCAAAGAAAGCAATATGTTGCATCCAATATCTGCAGTAGTAGATGGATTTTGTGTAATTTTTACTATTATTTGTATTGTTCTAATTTGTCTTTTGTTGTCTTTTGTTTTGGTGAAAGTGTACCATAAGACCAATGCTGTTTATGGTTCTTCCTTTCCATCTAAGTTACAGCAGCCACATTGTGGATTTAAT